CCCAGAAAGGCCCCCACCCACAGTGACCTGGACCCTCTCACATCAGTCACCAGCCAAGGATATGTACCATAGTGTGATGAGGGAAGTGCTTCTGTGTGTTTGTCTTACTGGATGATAAATAAAATACTATTTGGCCAATGAGGCAGCAAGTTAGGCAGGACTAGGAGTCAAAGAGGATTCTGGGAAATGTAGTAGAGAAGTGGTGATCCAGGCAGGAAGTGACATAGCAAGGAGACTCATATTTAAGCAAGGAGAAACAGGAAGTGTCCCTTTTCCCCTCCATTCTTGCTCCAGCGGCGCCATGTGAGCCACCGGCAAGAGAGGGTGCCAGCGGAAGGCATCCTCTATAAGATAAGTCTTATAAAATATATAGATTTATGATAATTAAGACTGAGCTAACAGATGAGAATCCTAGTCAGTGGCCAAGCAGCATTTGAACCTAATACAAGTTTCTGTGTATTAATTTGGGCCCTAACTCGGGTGGGCGGCTGGCGTAAAGTGCACACGTGGCTGTGGGGCTCGGTGGCTTTTGGTGGAAAGATTTATCTTAGCAAGGAGGTCCCATTTTTCAAATGTTGATCTCAGTGTCTGTGTTACTGGTCTAATAATGTTCAGGAAGCAGTCTCCTGTACCAATTAATTCAAGGGTATTTCCTACTTTATCTTCTAAGTTCAGTGTGGCTGGATTTATGTTGAGGTCTTTGATCCATTTTGACTTAAGTTTTGTGCAGGCTTGGGTCTATCTGTAGTTGTCTACATGTCCACATCCAGTTATGCCAGCACCATTTGTTGAAGATGTTCTCTTTGTTCCATTGTATAGATTTGGATTGTTTGTCAAAAATCAGGTGTTCGTAGGTGTGTGGGTTAATATCAGGGTTTTCAACTCTATTCCATTGGTCTACCTTTTTATTATTTGTGCCAATACCAAGCTGTTTTCAGGACTATAGCTCTGTAATAGAGCTTGAAGTTAGGGATGGTGATGTCTCCAGAAGTTCCTTTATTATACAATATGTATCCTTTTACAGTGTATTTGTTGTTGTTGTTGTTGTTGTTGAATTTTATGTGTCTGGGTGATTTGCCTGCATGTATGTTTGTGCGCTATGTGCAGACAGTGCACCAGATCCTCTGCAACTGGAGTTATAGATGGCTGTGAGTCAACATGTTAGTGCTGGGAACTGAACCTAGGTCCTCTGGAGGGGAACCCAGTGCCCTTAACCACTAGGCCATCTCTCCGGCTATAGACGTAACAGTGGACACACACACTCATCCCCCAAATAGCCCCTTTTCCATGTGCCCTCCCACATCCATGCTTCATTATGGCTCTGAAGTCAGGCTATGCGGGTTTCAAATCATGGTTTTATGAATAACTACTGGATGACACTGGGCGGACTATTTAAACTCTCTGGTCTCAGCTCTGTCACCTTGAAGGAGGCTTACACAGTGGCACCTTCACGGCTTTGTGCTGGGGGTTAATTGGTCAATCAACAGGGGCACAGCACTATTGAAAAGAAAAGGTTCAGACGTTTGCCAGTCTTTATTCTGAGGGTAAAACAACAATCAACACATAGCCAGTCTCCCATCCACTAGAAAAGGCTGTGCATGAACACTCAAAGCAGAGGCAGTGGCCAGGACACCACTGTGGTGATCCAATTCAAACTATAATTAAACTGGCTTAAGAAATCATACATTCCATTGCTATCAAAAGGACAATTTGCCTTTTACAACTTGTGAGTTAAAAGGAATAAAAATACAGGAGATGACTCTTTGTTTGAATGCCCCAGACACACACATTTGTTGTTTTCAACAAATTGGTATTTCCAAAGGACAAAGCTTTTCTTCTCCACCCATTTCCATAAGGAGATGTCAGAGCACATAAAGAAGGGAACAACCGTTGATGACCTGCAAAGTAGAGTACTGTGTGCAGACAGAAGCAGCAATTTAGAGCAAATCCACTTTAACCATCTATTCTGTACAATGAAAACCTGCACTGTGCACTGGCGTATTGCTGTGACGTATGCCCTCTTTCTGTGCACTGTCAGTTTTATTTCCCCACACAGCTAAGGAAGATGCTCACACACACACACACACACACACACACACACACACACACAGAGACACACACATACAGATATTTCAGTTTTGTCTCCCTCTTACTAAATTTTGGCTTATACAACCATAAATTAAAACAAACAAACAAAAAAGGAACAGCCCTAAGCAGTGCAGGCTACCAGGTATCTGCTGACAAAGACGGACAGTCACATGCTGAAGCTCAGGACCAGACAGGAAATAGTTAACATCAAAATGAGAGCCAAATAACCAAGGAAAGTGACAATTCTTGTGAAGCCTAGCTACATCTTCTTAAGATTCTTTTGAGTAGACATTTCTAAGTTAAATTAAACTAACAGAGAATTTCCCCCAAGATGTTCTCCGAGGCAACATGAAATCAAATTCTGCTGGAAAAACAAAAGGAAAGGCCAGAATTGAGCCTCCTTCCTCCTGGTCCCTGTATCTGAACACTTTCTGGATCCAATGGGGCTGGATAAGATCACTTCCAGTTCCCTGGGAGCTAGGATTGTACTCACTTGGACATCTGCAGGCTTACAGTTTAGAGATCGTCCACCAAATGGACATACTGATGGCCACCACCTTTTGTTTTTTGATATCCAGCTGCCTCTACTTCCCCAGAGCTGGGGCGAGGGCTGTTTACCATCATGTTTGATGGCTACTATTACATATGACATCTCCTCTTATACTTTTAAGAAAACACTGAGAGGTGCTAAGATTTAAGCAAGTAAACTCAAGGATAATTTCTTGTAATTTTTAGGCTCAAGGCTTTATGTGAATAGCTTGTAACCACAATGCTGACCTAGCTTTTGACGGGATTTTAAGAGCTACCCTGGAGCTCACCAGTAAACTGGGTATTTATGATTTTTGAACAACAAAAGTCAAAGGTAGCAAAACGCTGCAGGGAAGCAAAGTCAGACATTCACTCTGCAGCTTTCTGTTCCTTTGGCAAAGTTTAAAAAAAAAATGTGTAAAAAATTCGGAGACAACCAAACAACTGAAGGATGTATGGGAACCTGGAAATCATGAGACAGCCAGGGAGAGGTGGTGGGTCTCCACCTGGCACAGCCATTCAAGGTTCAAGAGAAACCCTCAGTCATGGTCAAGCCCACTGGAGCCTGTATGGCTGCTTATTCCCACATGTCACAGTGAGCAGCTGACGTGGGGAGTGGAGGGACAATGCAAGTCAATGTTAGGTACAAGGACGTTTAAAATGGTGGCTTTGAAATTTAACGCTGAATGACACACCCATCATAGCATGCCCTATGTCAAGATTTTTGTTTTATGGAACAAAACAACAGGAAAGCGAGGCTCTGCACCATAAGTGGGAGTGACATGTCCATGTCAGTGAGCTGGGAACCACGGTGAACAACTGAGTGAATGCAGTTCACCAGGCAGTTCTGTTCTAGCCCAGAAGGTGAATTTATTTTTATCCCTGGGATGACACAAGTGACTCAGATCCCTTTCCACCTTAAGCTTACTTTTTAATCTTTCCCCCTATTTTCCACACCACATAACAGAAGCCTGCAATAATCACCTGGGTTTTGACACTCTCAATTCATTCCTGAAGGGCCCTGGATAGGATGACAGATCCTATGCTGTCCTCCACATCCTCGGATTGAACCAACCAAGGATCAGAAATACAGGGAACAAGTGCATCTCACTTATCCTTACCCCTTGAACAGCACAGGGGACAGCCCCTTACACACCACCTATCCTGAATCAGTTGCTGTAAGCCACGTAGAGATGGTCTGACATTCACAGTAGCAGGGTTATGAGCAAACCCCACCAAAGGACAGCAGCATCTAGACTGTGACTATCAGAGGGTCCTGGAAGCAATTGCCCATGGACACTGAGGGACAACTGTACTCTTAAGTACCAATAAATCATGATGTCAACAGGAAGGTTCAGTTCAAAGTGCAGGATGGCTGACACTGATGAAACAATCAACTGTGTGGAAAGAATTCATGTTGGCATCAGCTCTTGAGATAGGAAATTTACTGCTTGTTACTGAACACATGAACAGCTAGTACTTAAATATCTTTTGCAAATGGCACAAAGATGCTGTGAATCCTGTGGTAACACAGAAAGGCCGATGATGTCAATCACGAGACTGGTTTGTGAGTCTTTAAACATCTATGTATTTCTTTTGAATTCTTGTGCATTCTCTGCCTTGGTCTTCCATTTGTCTACAATGGTTAATGTGTAGGAGAGAAGTCCACATCTAGAAAGCACCTGGACCTCCTCTGCTCGTGTCTGGTCCTTGCCTAGGCAGGAGAGGCAGTCAGCACAGGAGTGTGGGCAGGGCAGAGATGGCATCCTTCTGGGATGGCACTGGCATCATTGATGTGTGAATGATGTCAGTGACATGTGGGTGGGAGGAGTCTGAAGACTCTTTGATGTGATTTGGGCTTAGAGTAGGAATTTGGAGGTCAAATATTGAGCAAACCAAGAATTCTGAGGTGTCCTTCATGGCCTCATCAAATCTCGTCAACAAACTTTTTTTGCCAAAGCGCTGGTTTAAATAACTAAGTCATAATACATGCTATATACACGTGGTGACCAGGAGGCTAGTGGGCTGGCTTGTCTCTGTGAGTGGGAGGTGAAGAAGCTGAAGAACACGGCTGGAGGGAGTGTGAGAACAGCAGCCCTGTCTCAGTTCTACCATACCCTGTTTAGACAGTGCTGGAATACAATGGAGTATTTTTTTTTTACCACCTGAGTAGCAAACATTGGCTCTTTTTCCTTCAGGTGGTGTAATCCTGCCACACGTTATTTAAAAAGGAACACTGCAAGCCTAGCACAGATAGGGCACAGAGGGGTGTGAGGCAGCAAGAGGAAGTAAGGACACACATCAGGCCAGAGCTCAGGGGGAAATCGTGGGGGATAGAATGCCCATCCCTAAAAGCCCTGGGAAAGAATGAACTGCTCTGCAAATGACTAATGAACAGCGATCTGAGTTCGGTCATTTTCTCACTCTGCCTCCGGACACCACGTCTGCATAGGCAGTGTGGAGGAAGTCGTACAGCTGCTTGGCATTTCCCGCATGCCCCAGGATGCTCGTGAGCCGCTCCTGGGACAGGGAGGCCAGCTCTGCTATGTTCTTCACGTGATTCATCAGGGAGTGACAGTTCTTGGCATTGATCCCAGGCATCTTTAGCACGAAGTCTTGGGGGCCGGGGTTATACTTGTCCGACTCTGGCAGCGTTTCCGAGTCTGCAGTGATGGCCATGGCCGTGGCTGCATCAGGTTGTGGCTTGTTCTGCTTCAGCTCCTCGAACAGCTCGGCTGTGGCATGAGGCGAGGGGCACCAGAGCAGCCGCAGGCGCGGGAAGTGCAGGGTGAGGAGCGTGAGCTTGGAGCTCACGTCGCTGCTACTCATCTCCTGGAAGAAGGAACCGCGTGGCGCCAAGGAGAAGGGCTTACCAGCATCGAACTCGATGAGCAGTACTGGCCGCCGGTAGTAGCGTGACATGGCTAGGCACTGGCTGTACAGGCGGCCACTATTTAGCGAGCCGATGAGGTCACTCACGCTTTTGCGCTCCACACACAGCTCAGGCGTCAGGATGTAATCACCCACCTCCAGAGTCACTGGCTCGATGTCGATGCCCCTCCGATGGATCAGGGATGGTAGCTCACTCCGAAACTCCCGCATGTCCACCACAATGCTGGGTTGTGTGCCGTTATGCTCCTGGCCACCTATGAATAGGGATGGTCATGTCACAGGGAAGAATGCTCAGTGATGAACTGATAAGTTTATATCCGTTTCTTTTGTTAAACTCACATGGATGGCTATAATACTTTCTACAATTCCAAAAAATAGCATTTATAGAGAAAACAGAGGTAGTTTTCCCCAAATTAAATGGAACCAATAGGAAAGTTAGACTGGGCTGGCTGTTCATGACTTACAGTGGCACACAAACACCTCTGCTCTGGCTCCTCTCTGGTCCCTCACAGGAACATTGACCACATTTGTGCTGGTACTTCTATCTCCAGGTCTTATACACAGTAGGAGCTAAGTAGTCTGCCTCTGAGCTGTTGGGTCTAGGGAAAAGGCTGGGAACAGATTCTTACACACTGATGTGAATAGCTGGGGCCATGCTAGCAAGCAGATTCTGAACTCAACAGGTATGGAATCAAAGGCTCCAAAACTTCACTCCCAACAGCCCCTAGGGGTGATAATACTGTTGTTTTTAGGACAACTTTATTTGGGTATGTGTGGTATATGTGCACGAGTGTCTGTGTATGTTTGTGTGTAGCTTTGTTGAACCCCTGTGTGAAGGCCACTCCAGACAGGATCTGTCACTGAACCTGGAGCCAGGCCAGTAGTCAGCAAGCCCCAGGGATCCTTCTGTCATAGCAGTGGTGGTACAGGTCCCATCAGTGCTGGGAATTTGAACTCAGGTCTTTATACTTGTATAGCAAGCATTCCTATCCACCAAAGCATCTACTCAACTCCAAGGGCACTCTTGAGTGTTAATGACTTTTATTGGCAGAATTATGTCCCCCCCCCAAGTGCCTGCACCCCAATCACTGCTCAGTAGGGTTACCTAGCACAGTAAGAGAGGCTTTGAGAATGGGATTCAGGTAAGCTTTGGGAGGCTGGGTCGCCCTGGGCCATATGATGATGAAATGTCCCCAGAGGCTCACTGTGCATCAAGGTTTACACCTATGGTCGTGCTCAGGAGGCTCCGGGCCTCACCTGCACAGATGAAGTCACAGCTGGATGGACCGCTGGCAGATAGGGCCTAATCACTGGGGCCTGCTGCTGAGGGTTGTCCTGCACTTACCCTCTGATTTTCTGTGTTTGCTGCCATAGATGAACAGCTTTCAGTCCCACACCCTTCCACCATGGTGTTCTGCCTCATCACAGGCCTAGGAACAATGAAGCTGGCTGAGTGTGGACCGGAACCTCTGGACAATAAGAGCCCAATCAATCCTTCCCTTAAGTTGCTTCATCAGATATTCCTCATAGCAACAGAGAACTAAGATACCTGGGCAAACCCAGAGGCCATAGGAGAGAAAGGGGGAGGCACCAGGATCAGAGAAGGCATCAGTATGGTTTTGAGGGCAGAGGGAGGGGCTATGAGCCAAGAATGCAGGTAATACCTAAGGCACTGGGACAAACAAGGATAGGTTTCTTTGATGAACTGCCAGGAAGAAAACAGCTCTGTGAACACCCTGATACTAGCTCAATGGCATCCAGTTAAAATTCTGTCCAGCCTGAAGACCTGTAAGGAGGGCAATGTGTGCTTTTCAAGCCAAGTTTGTGTAATGTTTTACAGCAGCGATAGGAAACTCAGACAGAGGCTTCCAGAGGGCAGATCCCTAGGAAGTGCTTTGTGTGCAATACTTATAGCTTGATTCTCCCTCCTTCACCCTGCCTTACGGGATGTAGTTCTTCCCAAAAGGTCACCAAGCTAGGCAGAGTTAAGAATCTGCCTCAAAAAAACAAAACAAAACAAAACGCACAGATGTTCTGAAACAGTGCTTCCCAGAGTGAGCAGTGCAAGGTCCTTCTCACCCACAGAAGCAGAATTTCCATGTGTGAAGCCAGCAGGTCACATGTGCATTGCACGTGTGGAAATCAGAGGACATTCTCAGTAGTGGCTTCTCTCCTGCCACCTAGTGGGATGGGACATGAGACTCAGATAGTCAGGCCTTCATGAAAGTGTTTCTAACTTACTTCAGAGCCATTTCTCCAGGCCTCTCCCCGGCCCCTGACAAATACCTAACAAAACAACCTAAGGGAGGAGAAATTCACTTTGGTTCAGGGTTTCCATCCACAGGCAGTTGGCTCTATTGTTTCTGAGCCTGTGGCAGGCACAGTGCCACAGGGAAGGCAAGGACATGGAATCTATCAGCTTAGGTCCACTGGACTCTGAATGCACTGATTGCATCAGAGACTAAATCAGTCGTAACCCTCTCATGCTGCTTGCTGATGGCAGCTGCCATGGGAAATGGAATTCCTTGTGAAATCCAGCAGGCCTTGTGACATGCCAAACACCTGGGACTGGAGAGACAGCAATAGGCAGACAGTGCTTCAGAGTAGGGAGGGCACAAGCATACCCTAAGGAGTCCCAGCAATGTGTGAACCTGAGAGGACAGGCAGAGGAAGTTAGGGAAAGCTTCCTTCAGTTGTCGTATGAGTCATCTGGCTTCCCTGGGTCACAGAACCACCCAGATGTTCCAAGGCATCACTGGCAGAGTTCATCTGGAAACTTCCCTAATCATTTCCTTTTCTTTATCAAATATTTATTTGGATGTGTGTGTGCTTGCATGAATTTATATACACCACAGGAGAGCAGGTCCCTGGAGAGGCCACAGGATGGTGCTGAAGTTATAGGCAGTTATAAGCTGTCTGATATGGGTACTGGGAACTGAACTCAAGTTCTCTGCAAGAGCAGCCAAGTGCTTCTAACAGGGGAGCAATCTCCCCAGCCCTATTTGTGTTTTTAAGAGTTTACCTAGAGAAACTCAGCTAGGTAGCTCCAGGCTTCACAGTGTCCTCTAAGGGCAAAAGTGGCACTAGGTCCAGGGCCGGACTTACCAGCTTTTCGAGTGTCAGCGGGAGCATCTGTGGACACTGTGCCTCTTGCTAAGTCCAGGTTGGTTTCATCTCTGCCTTCCCGTTCTTCAGGGACAACCATGCTAGCCTTTTCCCTGGGGGAACAAATATCATAGCATCACTTGACTAATCTCAACATTCTAGATGAATCTTTTTTAAAGTCCCATATCTAAGGCGATCTACATGCTGGCACTAGGAGTCCATACCTGTAATGCTCGCACTTAGGATGCTGAGGCAGGGGGATTGCCTATGACACTGACTGCAGTGGTGAAAGTGAATGCAAGGAAATACATCAGAAATAAGCAAGCAGATGGGAAGAATTGGAGTTGGAAGAGTCACTTGGCTGAGCTTTCCTTTCTCACCCTCCAGAGTTCAAATAAGCTCTTTATGTGACTGAGATTGCCTGAGCCTGCTATATCAATGTTGAAAAACAAATCATTTAAAGTCAGATATTTTTCAGGATCATAAGTAGGGAGGGTTCAGTCAATGATTAAGAAAAAGAAAATGAAAACAGACATGATAGAAACCTGACTGGAAACCCTCCAGGTGGGAGGCCCCATCAACCACCATTAGTTTCAAAAGAGAAGCAAGGTCACTATAAGAATAAAATTTCTGTTAGGGTTCAAAACAGATAACCAACATCTGGGAAAGAGCTGGGAACAGTAGCCATTCCTTGTGGTTTTGTTTGGAAGCATTAGGAGTGTTACCTGTATAACAGTGATCACTGGGCTGGCAAGAAGGCCCAGTGGGTAAAGGAACTTGCCTGACTATCCAAATTCAAGCTTGGTGGAAGAAGAGAACTGACTCCTGCAATTGGTCCTCTGACCTCCACACAGTGTACATGCACACATGTATGAATACAGATAGACATGCATGAAACAAATAAACAAATGTAATAAAAATGACCGATAATCCTTCTAGTCTTCAGAGTAACCCAGTATCTCACACACATGGTTTAGGAGAACTCTGTCACCTGCTAAGACTTGACGGACATCATTATGGCAAGTAAGTCTCCATAGTGAGCTGGGGGCTCTAAATCTTTGAAACCACTAAGCATGTGACAGCTAATTCACGAGACTGCAAGTACTAAGTGTGCCTGGTGTGACAGAACATGGACCTTTTCTCCTGAGACCTGCAGCAGAGCTGCAGAAGAAAAGCAAGCAACATGAACAAACCCACAGAATCAACAGCTTCAGCAGAGACTGGGGCTAGGGAAGCAGAAGGAGCTGCCAAGATGGATATGTCTCCACCAGGAACAGAGCAACACTCACTTCCTGGAGATGAAGTAGAGCAGGACTCCACTTAAACACTACAAAGAACAGTATGTAATCTATAGAGGCACATGTGGCCCAGAAAGTTTGGAACCCTACATGGTGTGAACAACCCAGGAGTGTAGAGCTGCTGCTAGTCCAGCATGCAGGGACAGACAAGGGCTTGTTCTCACTGTCCTGTAGGCCTGGTCAAGGGCTCTGTGATGCAAACCCTTGCCCACCAGCACCTCCTGGCCACACCCAAAGGACCCAAGAGGATGACCAAATACTCAAGAACACTAGCAGACCCTCAGTATCTTTCTCTCTAACATTTTTGCTTTTCCCTCTTTATTTCTACCACTTTTACATGTTAAGTTACAGGTCATATGGTGGGGGGTGGGCATCCCAGCTTCCTGATGAATCTCCTGTTTGTGGGTAGACAGTGTAGTCAGAAGCAGGGACCTAGTTCTTATTAGCAGTGTAATCTGGAATCATTCAGGTGCTCCTTGCCAGAATTCTTAAAAAATCTGTAAAATGGGGATAATGCTATTAAAATCTACTTGAAAAGGCTGACTACAGGGTGCATCTTGTCCCTGCCACAGTAAGTGAAACCCTCAGTGCCACTGGCCCGCCTTCAGTTATCCAGGGTCACACTAAGAAGCTACAGGTCTGCTGGCAAAGGAATCTGGCACTGTTTCCACTTCTGAGAAAATTTATACCCCCAAAAGGAACTGGTAACCATGAAGAAAGCAAGTTGCTGAGCAGGCACAAATCCCTTTAGTGGACATTTACTGTTATCAAAAGCATCCATCCCTTACGCCCATCACTCAACACAACTACTCCAGCTGCACTGTGACAGACATGAGATCGTTAAAATTCCAGACCTCTTTCCACCTCATCCATCCTCAGGTACTGATGGTTTCTATTGTTGCTTTAATATTTTCAATGATATTTTTCTTACGATGTAGCCCAGGCTTGCCTGGAGTGCTGGGATTTTCAGTGGTATGTGAATGGCTCTAATAATGTGATGTGGGAAGGAAGAGCCCAGGAGTCTTTGGTTGGCGTCTAGGCATGGACTCTTCAGCAAAGTCAAGTAATCTTGAACTTACACTGTGAGCCACTGACCTGCCCAACAGGAGGCACCTTGCCCTTATTCTCCAGCAATTGAATCTAATTATCTCTAACCCAGCTAAGAAGTCCTCGTTTGCTGCCAGTCCGCCCGATTCATTCCTCCCTGGTTATTTTAAACAGCAGCCCAGCATTGTTCTTACAACATCACCCATGGAGGTCTTGGCAAGAGTCTATTCTCTTCCTGTCATAGTAAATTTCCTCCCGGTTCAGGCGAAGTGCAAATGCCCTACTGGCAATGAACCCCAAATGTTGCTTTGTGTTTTTAAAACAAACACCACTCAAATTCCCCATCTTCTGGGAAAGTAAGAGTCCTAAGAAGATGACCAGTGTAACCACTTGACTGCTGTGCAAAGTGGAAGACTATTTATAACAAGTAGGTACTGAGTTTAGAAAAAGTGATGCTAAGTTTTAGGTAAAATACCACTAAAATGGATGTGTATTTTCTCGTGGGCTGGGAACTAACTCAGGACACACACATGCTACACAGATCTTCTACCCTGATGATGCCCCTTCCCCGATAAACACAATCATTTGTACAAGCCAGGAGAGGCATGAGAGTGCACAATACATTACCACTATTGACTCCAAGCACCTTTTATCAAGACTCCTTGATGAACCAGGCAAGAGGCAGTAGCTGCAAGATCCAAGTCTAGAGCCCAAAGCCGGTCCCCTAGGGAACTCCAGCCTTAGAGCCTATCAGCTCCTTGGAGACATCAAGGAGACATCAACTGAGCAGGGTGCCATTGTTGAAAAGTCCCAAGAAAGGCCTTTGTGCTCAAAGCTGGGCCATAGCATGGTCTCGGGGATGAGCATGGAGCCTGTGGAACAGTGCTTGGTAGAGGGCTGCTATGCCCAAGGCACTGGGTCACAGGTAACTGTGATTGGTGGTGAATGCCTGATTTTGCTTTGGCAGGTTGCAGTTGGAGAGATCAAGTCAGTCACATGGGTGCTGTGTCTATGAGATTGAGCCTCAATGAGAACTGTGGACGTCGAGGCTGGATGAGTGTCCCTGCTACCATGCCTGCATGTCTGAGACACATGACTGGTGGTAGAGTTGAGTGCACCTCCATGTTTCCGGGAGATGCCACTCCTGCTTGTTTCCTGAATTTCGCTCCAGCTTTTCCCTGCTGAGTCTCACCTGTGTGCCCTTTTCTGTGACAGACTTAATTGCAGCTCATTGACTGAAGAGTGACCTTGGGGACCCTGACACAGGAAAACCAATGATCTAATAAGGATACTTCAGTTCTAGGCATTCATTTGTGGTTTGGTGACAATTATTTTTAATCAGAGAAAAGTTAGAAAAAGGATGTTTTTAAAACAATAAAAGAACTGTAGGGAGGTGCTAGCCCATCCCCAAGGATGCCACATCTCTGACACATCACCTAAGTACCTCTCACATCTGCCCCTTCTCTTCCTTAGCCTATCTTTCCTGCCACCCTCTCCTAGCACACAATGCATTCCTCAGCTGTTTTTCAGAGACATCTTTACAAATGCATGAGCCTCATGCCACCTAGAATGTGTAGTGCTGCCACATAGTCCTAACTAAGGCTCTGGGCCTTTTGAACCTCTGGGCTCTCCTACATACCTCTGCTCAACGTGATTCCTTTCTTACTGCATTCGCATAGACTAGAGCTCAATGAATAACTTCACTGTTGGAGACTCGTTAGCTGAAGGTCTACAGGACAGACGGGAGGCTCTGACAACTCTGACTAAGAAGAGGTTGTCTATATAATAACTGCTGTTATACTACTACTTCTGAAATAGCTAGCTTTTCATCACACACACATACACATATCCCACAAAACACAACAGAAACAATCCCATGGTGCATTTGTATAGGCTAAGAGGACCAAGTAACAAAACTGTACAGTTAGCAGCTTCAAGGAAACACCACTATTCTAGAAGATATAAAGGGAAGGGTGCCATTCACACACACGCTAAACTCCTTCAGTGGGACCAGAGGCACCCACCTGTGAATATCCATTTTTAGAAATGCCTGACCTGGACTGCCCTGGGTATCCAGAGGCTAAGCATCCACAGACAGCCTTGTAGGATACTGTCCATTCTTAGATTCTGTCTAGTTCAGTGCCAGGCTTACTGCCACTGTACACTGCCAATGTCCAACGCATGGAAAGCCAGTTCCAAAGATGTACCCCATTGTTTTCTCTGGCCTAGGCTTTCTCTGGCTCAGCTTTATGATGCCTGGTCTAACCCTGGCTTCTTAGTCCCTTGGGTCATCAGTGCACTGCAGTCTATTGACATGGCTCCTGGTGGGTCATCTGATCTTCCCAGGTGCTTAGGGGTGAGATGTTGCCAGTCAGTTTGTGACTATTCCATAAACAGCTCCTGTTAAACTGAATAGCATTTTCTACCAGGATTGGTAATATGACATCCACTCTCAAAAACATGACACAAATTAAGAAAAATAGTACATCCTTAAAACAAAACAAAACAAAACAAAACAACAACAACAAAACACCTTAGAATGATTCTAGCTACAGTGGTCAGAACTGGGGGTGGGGCATAAAATACTTCCCAGCTCATGATAAAGTAGCTACCCACCTGCAGATAAACAAGATTTTAGGAGGGAAAACCCACAATTCAAAAAAGAAGGCCCCTTGAGCAGAGGGTACAGAGTTAGAGAGCTTCCCTCCTACAGCAGTGTCTTGTGGTATGTATGATGCTGTACACTACAGATAAAAAGCAGTTTCTCTCACACATTTCTCGTATGAAAAATCTGAAACTCAAAATGCTAAAAAATGCCAAGTGTTTGGCTTGTCAACACAGCAGCACAGGAGGAAAATTCCATGTCCAATCCTGTGCTCAAGGAACCTACAGACATGTCCAACTTGTCGTCTCTAGTGACCTTCAGGCCACAGGCCTCCTAACAGACACATGGACATGTTCATGACTGGATCCTGTCACTAACACATCCTATTACATATATGAAAATGTTACAACATTTGAAATACTTCTGGTTCCAAGTATTTCAGGTAAGTGATACAATGCAGATCCTACTCACTAAACCCACATCAAGCAACTGCAGTGGGAAGAGAGAGGAAAGGAAGTGTGTGTGAGGCAGGCCCAAAGTACCAGTCATCCCCCAGTTCATGACCCTCCCTTCCCTTTTTTCCTCCTCTCTCTTCCCAGGGTGCTCCAGAGAAGCTACTGGCTGTCCACTGACCCTGGGAAGGACTAAGCTAAGCATGGTTCCCGTGGGCCACCATCTTACCTTATGAGCTTTTCAAATGCCTCCTTTTCCTTTCGAAGAGCGGTCAGGTAACGCTGTTCTTCCGTGGAGCCTCCATATATAAGAAAGTAAACCCTGTGGGTTAAGATAGAACTCTCTTAGGTTGCAAAACTGTAATTCTTAATCCCTGGAAGGGCAGCACAGTCGAGTGTCTGAGAGCAGTAGCTCTGGACACTCAAGTAACAGCAACTCGAGGAAGAGTGAGGCTCTGCTCACTGCTCAGTACACAAGACTCAGACGGAGCTACAAGAATCCCACCTGCTAAGGGTTCTAGGGCTGCTAACCCATGAGGTTTCTTTTTTCTTTTCACCAAATACAGGTAAACACTGAAATATAACTGGAGGACGGAAGAATTTTTTCTCATAACTATAAACAAATAAAAAAGAAACCCACAAAATCTCTTAGAGGCTTCTTTTTCAACTTTTTTCTTTGTACTTCTGCCAAACCAAAACTTAAAAGTTGGACAATCATCCTTAGAATCAGCTTAGGGAAATTCGATGCTAGTGACAAGCAAATACCTTTACCCTCACAGTACTTTCTCAGTTCCTTTTATTCAAGTCACAACAGATTGGAGCCAGAAAAATAAACACATGGATAGTATCCGGAATCTCAATTTTTTTTTGATATATTTTGTTTCAAAAGGGCTTTGCTCTGGGGCTAAAGAGATGGCTTATTGGTTAAGAGTGCTTCCTGCTCTTCTAGAGGACCAGAGTTCAGTTCCCAGCACCAACAATGAATGGTTTACAGCTGCCTGCAACTTTAGCTTTCCCTATCCCTACCCTGCATCTCTGGCGACTGGTGCACATATACACATGCATCACTAAAAACAGTGTTGAATAAACCAGAGCGCTTGGGTTTTCTCATTTGTGGCTAAGGCTGAGTTAAGTGCCTCGTTAGAGGGATCACTGTTAAGCCCACTTTACTTTTAGCACACATCTTCCAAAACTGTCTCATTTGAAGCACAGAGTGGAGAAAGGCCACTGGGGTGTCAGGAGATTTCAGCTGTCCCATGGATGTGTCATGTGGCTGAAGCCAAATCAATTTCCATTTCTGGGCCTCAGTTTCCCACTGACAGAGTGTACCGCTGAGTTCCCAGGTGTCTTCCGCTCTGGACATTTTGATTTCAAACATGATAGTGTCTTGCTGTTAGGCAAAAAGATTGCCTGGGAGCCGATGCCTAGCAGGCTGAGTAGCTGACCAGCCTGCAAGGCTTTTGCCAGGGCCTTTATCATCACAGGTTCCTTCTGAGCCAGCCTCCTGCTCTGAAAGGCTGTCTTAGTTACCCTGCTACAAAGGTTTCTCTTGGCTCTATTTCTGGTTCAGACTGAGTTCAGGATATTAATTTTGGTGTTTATTTCCTCTTAGCTAGCTGGAAAGCTGAGAACACTGTATTCTTTGGAGGCATCACTTTCTCATCAGATAGATTGGTAGATTTTAAGGAGATATTTCTAGGAATCCAAGAAAACTTGATACAATAATTCCTAAAACACTTTAGTTTTATAAGTATGAAATCTAGAGTCATTTCTTAGCATCTGTAAGCTGTGAGCGCGGTGAGGTGCCTCAGTAGGTAGAGACTTCCTGTCTGAGTACAATCCCTAGAATCCACAAAATGAAGTAAGGCATCAACCAACTCCTGCAAATTGTCATGGTGTGCACACACCACACACATCACTAAGAATGTTTAAAACTTTACAGGGTATTTTAGAAGATTAATAACATTTGGCTAAGTCATTAGTATATTACCTTTGATAATACATAGAACATTATAAATTTCCTAGACTTTCCAGATAATGTACCCTGTAAGAGACGCACTCAGACATAACGAAAGAATATGAGCAGGGCAGGGAACACGCCAGGGATGCTGGAAGCTTGCAGTTTAGGAGTGGTGGCTGACTTTTGCATGGTGCACTTCCACCTATTTATCAAAAAGCAGGGTCAAACCAGCCTCATGGTGGTTTAAAGGTAAGACCAGACAGCTTTTGTCCTAAAGCCGGCAGAACCGCCAAGCACAAACTTGCCTCAGTGGTTTCCCTGGCCTGCTGGCCCTGTAGATCTCCAGCTGCCGTACAAAGGTGAGCTCTGCATCATACAGAACCACGTATCTGGGCTCCACCTCATGCAGTACCCGCGTCAAGGCATAGGGGTCGCTGCACCCCACAAGCGGATGGATGATGGTCAGGGGCTCTTTCAGGATGCCATAGGCCGAGTCAGATGACAAATTTAAATCAAAAGCTTCATGCTGAATCTCTCCCCCGCAGCCTTCTGGACTACTGGTGGCTTGTCTCTGCTGGTCTTCCTCTGCAGCCCCTTCCTCTGGTGGCTCCTCAGCAGTCCCCATCACTTGCGTCAGAGTTAGCTCTCGCTTCTTCCTTTTAGGAGCCCCCTTTTTGGTAGAGGCACGCTCTTTGTTTTTGGTGTCTTTGGGTCTTTTGTCAGATTTCATGGTTCTCTTTGGACCGTCCCCCTTTCTAAGATTCACCCACACTTCTTCGGCTTTGCTGTCCTTCTCAAAGGTTTTCCTGTAGAGCCGCAGCAGGAAGGCTTCTGCTCCTGCGGTCAGGTAGTCTCTCAGCTGGCAGCAAGTCCGGTCATCGCTTGCACAGATCAGCACCTGGCCTGCAATCAGAGAGAACATATGCTTGCTTGCTTGCTCACTCACATTCTCTGCTCCTTTGGGCCACCCTGGGTCCCCTGTCCCTTTCTATGGAAAGGCATCTTACCCTCATTAAAGAACCCAATTTACAAATGGTTTAAAATGGGGCTTGGGCCCCAATCCCACGCTGTCACCTCCGGGCTGATTCATGGAGGGAAGCTGAAGCCACAACAATTTAGTCTAATGAAAGCAGAGCCAAGGTACAATGGAAGCTTTAAAGAAGCTTCTAATGACTAATTTTCTAGAGGCTCTGAGACGCCAAAATCCGTTTCAAATGTCAAATCTCAAATCATAAAGGATGGCTTGTCTTTACCCCTAAGATGGAGGTGATCTTCTAGTCTTAAAAGCCGAAAATTGGTTCTCAGAGAAGATTATATGAAAAGGTTGACTTTAGAGCAATAAACCCAGCATTAGAAAGTCTAGAGACATAATCAGCAGATAAACTGGTGTAGTATAAATTGGCCAAGGCAGCTAAGACAATATGTGTTAGAGATGAAGGTAGAAGGCTTAGAACTTGGAATTGTTTTTCAAGTAAATAGAAGCATTTAAGCTTCTTTGGAAAGACACTTGGCTGGGGTTATAAAACAGAAAAAACAAAACAAAACAAAAAAAAACACCATTAGCTGATTTCCTGGAGATTCTATATTTAAAACCTAGTGAATGTATACATGGAAATTTGCTGATTCTTTAACAGAGGTCCTGAGAAGCCAAGTCGTGAAGACTGCACTTTGTGAATACACAATGACTCAATATGGAGAAAAGCACACCAAACTGAAGTGGTCTTGGGAGCCAGGAAATTGACATCCAATGTCAGTGTGCTGTGTGGGGTCTGGTGGTACCTGCCTGGAATCCATTACTAGGAAGTATGAGGAAGGAAAATCAGAATGTCAAGGCCAGCCTCAGATGTACAGCAAGCTCAAAGCCAATCTGGACCAATGAGATCTTGTCTCAGAAACAAAAACAAAGATTAAGCCAATGTCACCATCTCCCTTGGTTCCTACCTGGGCCACCAAGGGCTTCACTCTCCTTATTTTCTGCTTCGATTTCTTTCAGGACTTCACTTAATGCCTCCCACTTTGGGTTGCTTTCTAGGACCAGTTCCTTTTTTGTTTCTGTATAGAAATAAAATATAACCACATCCTGTATGATGTTTAGCCAAAATGATGCCAAAGGCGTTCCCACAATAGAAAACTAGCATCGCTGGGAATGGACATGCCCTTGGGCCTCAAGCATGCTACACAGGACCTGCCTCCCTGGAAAAGCAGGCTGACAGGTCTGCTGGAATGTGTGGAGGTGATGGGACACATGGCTGATAGAAACAGTTGGGACACTGTACACAGGCAGCTACACAAAGCAATGAATAGGTGCTATCAATATTTATTCTTTTGTAAATAACAATTTTTAAACTTTATTTTTATTTTATATGTGCATTGGTGTTTTGCCTGCATGCATGTCTGTGTGAGGAGGTCAGATCCTCTGGAACTGGAGTTACAGACAGTTTTGAGCTGCCATGTGGGTGCTAGGAGTTGAACCCAGGTCCTCTGGAAGAGCAGCCTGTGCTCTTGACCGCTGAGCCATTTCTACAGCCCCTATTATTTCTAATATGCTTGTACTTTCTACAACCCTGAACATGGCTAAAAGCAGGAAACAACTTTTTTTTTCTATAAGTATTCAAACTGATTATGAACATACTGTTTTGAACAGATTTTTAAAGTAGGCAGAAACAAGTGTTAACTACCCCATCCCAAGCCTTAGAAAAAAAAGACACTTGATGCTTACTAGTTAGAAACGACAATAAAACCTACAGTTACTTCTGTCTAGTGCATTTATAGTCTTTAAAAGTTGCAAAGAATGCTAAAATGTTTCATTAAGTCTTTAAGTGTCCATAATAGTAATGGTTGAAATGTTTGTTATAGAGCAATGAGAACACTCTTGACTGATGTCTGGCCTTTGACATTGGTGTTCTCTGGCAATGGATCTCATCCTGGTTTTATTGCATACTCTTCCCACACACTGCATGCATTTTAAATGTGCTTTAAGCTGACACCTGCTTCCACTCCAATGTGAACAGAGAGGCGTTTAAGGCCTGACCTTGCCCTTCTGCACTCTCAGACATTTTGGCCTTTTTGTTCAGTTTGACATCGGGAACACGATAAACTCGTGCACGAGCATTCACGAACATGGAGGTGCTAGCATCCAGGAAAAGCCAACCTAATATAATGGTAAAAACAAAAAGGGCTTCAATTAGTGGTAATTTTAAACATGGTCACATAACCCACATACACCACTAGCTGCCATCTTGTTTTCACAGCAACTATGTCTTAGTTTGTCTTATTGCTGTGGCCTCTGCTTGATTAGACCAGTGGTTTTCAAAGTATGTGTGCTACCATGGTGCTATATCCCTGCTTCTGTATTGGTTATTTAAGAATGTCTGGAAGAAGCAGTAAAAATTCTTAATTGCATAAATTTGACCCTAGGGTTCAAGGGTCTTGAGTAGTTAGCATGACAGCCACTGTACAGGTCTATATTTCCAAACAAATCTCTTAAGTCTTTGACACTCTAGCAAATGAAACCCATCCCTTGAGGTCTGTTTGAATAAAATTAATTTTAAGTTCCTAGCAAGTAAACTTCCAGAAAAAAACCCATTTCCAAGTTGGAGACTGTCTGTACTACAAAGTCTTTTCTGGAAATAAAACTGCCAGGAATGGATATGAATATTTATTATACAGAACAGAAGTTAAGTAGGAGGGAACATTAGCTTTCAATAAAGCTCTACAGCCTTGTGCAGTGAACATGAAATTCAATTTATAACATGCAGTTGAATATAGCACTCCTCCCAGTAACACTTTATTCAAATCAGTTCCTAGAATAATATTAGTATTTTTATCTCACACCTGAATTCTGACCAAAGACCTTCTCTGTTGCTCTCAGAGATTCCAGAAGATTAAGAAATGTAACACAATCATACTGAGAGAGATACTGCAGTAGGGTTCTTAGTATCTTCAGATCCTGTACCAAGGATTTAGTCTTGGCTCCAAGCTGGTGCCATAAAGGGTCCAAGTAATGGCGGATTGTCTGAAAAAGAATACAATTTTCTATTGCTAAAATATATTTATTATAGCTTTTCTTAACACAGCCATACTTTCAATAAAGGTTATTCGTTGTATATGTAAAAACATACTTAAAATGCTATGTTTTGTTATTTATATTTTATTACAATATTTCCTACAATATTCCCTAAATATTTCCTTCCTAGAAAGTTTCAGGTCACCAATCCTAATAATGTTTTAAAAGGATAATGTCATATTACTATATTGTTTATGATGGGATGAGTTAATGCCCCTTAATTCTTACTAACATTGTCAGAAGGCTCAGTGAGTAAGAATGTCCACTGTGCAAGCAGGACCTGAGTTCAAATCCCCAGCAACCACATAAAAGGACGGCATTTGTCTATAAAATCAGAGTTATAAGGGACAAAGGACAGAAAGATCTCTGGGATATTCTAGCTGTCAGCTTAATTCTAGGTCCAGTGACAGACCCTTTCTCAAGGAAATGAGGCAAAGAAGTGATGGAGAGGTTACTCTATGTCCTTCTCTGGCATCTGTACATTCAGGAGCCATGTACAACACACACACACACACACACACACACACACACACACACACAGTGGTGCATGCACATGTATAAAGACATACAAAAAATATACATGCTATTATACACCATAGACAAAAAAGGCCTGCTATATCAGAAAGCCAGCAACTTGTTCTTATGAACAGTAGTCTCATGGGTATCTAATCTGACAAAGTACACAATGAGCAGAAGTGGCACCTAATGACCTTCTAATTCATGCTCCGACTGGGATGCATGTGACAGGGTAACAGGAGGGTTAGAGCCATTCTACAACAGCAGATCACTTTTGTTAAAAGATACATGGAACCTCAAGTTTTTGTTTTACCCGATGCAAGCTCTGTCTATATATCAGATGTGACTAATTCAAGAATGTCCACAACAATCTTTGACTCTCACCAGCCAGTAATATCAGACACAAATCAGTGTTCAATAAAACATTCTGCTTTTCTAGGACATTATCTATTCCATTAAAACAATATGAACATTTGTCACCGCCACGCCCTAAGTTACACACACATTAAGACAAAGGAAGGCAGGACAGAACATGTGTGGAATCCATTCCACACATGAATATTTCACAGTTGTCAGAACACACACTGTTCCCAGTGACACCAAGACTGATTCAGAGTTTAAAAGACAGTAGCATGAGCCATGCATGGTGGCACCTATGTTTAATTCCAGAACTTGGGAGGCAGGTGTATCTCTGTGAGTTCTAGGCCAGCCTTGTCTACATAGTGAGTTCTAGGCCAGCCAGGGCTACACAGTGAGACCTGTCTCAAAACAAAAACAAAAATACTCCCCACAAAAAAAACCCAAAAAACAACAACAACAACAAAAAGCACCTAACTTTGTATTTTAAAAAGATGGCAAATTCGGGGATGTGTGATTACTAGCATTCATGTGTAGACTCTGTGTCTACAGATACTCAGATATTGTCATTTTGGAACAAAGACATTGAGTATACTTACAATAAGACATTCACTCACTATGTAACTGAAAAAGTCAACTTTATGCTTACATGCCAAACACAGATGTCACTGTACATTACTATTTCCACAAGGTAAAGCAGCCCCACTTTAAACCACCTTCAGTTTAATTTCTGCAAAGGACACGGTGAATATTAAAATTCACTTTTGCACTCTTTAAAATGACAACCTAATCAGCTGTGCTTCAAAAGGAAGAAAAAAAGGAAGTGGACCTTGTCAAACGGCTTCCCAAGAGCATTTTCTAGTGACAAGTCTTCCACTTCTAGTGATGGGTTGTGGCACTTCAGTTCCTTCAGACACGCATTTAAGATGTCTAGTATGGCTGTCTGGATGGAAAGCATGGCAGGAGTCATAGACACGTGAATCTCTACGACTTCAGGCTTGTGTTGTTCCAAGAACGAGTTGACTGCTACATGGAACCTAAGGAGACAGAGTTTCCAAATCAACAGCTTCAAGCATAATGCAAGCAAAATGGCAATGCCTAAGAACACACTGGACCCTGCTGAGTAGGCTCATCACTCAAGCAAGGCAGGCTCAGAAAGCTAGTATTGGCCCAATCCCAGACCTACATTTGTATAGTGTGAGGGAACATGGCCCCGGCCATTGGGTTCCTATTATCTACAACAAAACAAAACAAAACACCCCAAAACTCAATCACCCTAATTTTGTGTGCACACGCTATAGGGCATGTGTGGTGGTCAGAGAACAACCATGTGGGTACTGGAGACTGAACTTGAGTTAGTGGTTAGTGGTTAGCACTTTTATCCACTGAGCAATCTTGCCACCCTTACTCCAATTCTTTTAAGTTACATGTATTTATTTACTTGTGGTGTGCCTGAGCATTCAGAGCTCAGGACAGCTTATAGTCAGTTCTCTCCTTCCATGTGGGTCCTCAGGATTGAACTCAGGTTCTCAGGGTTTGGCAGCAAGAACCTTTACCCCTTGAATGATCTTGTTGTCTGTTTCTGTGCTTCTAACAGCAAGGCTGAGCTAAGCGAGTCTCCACTACCAAAACACTTACTAGCTGGTCATTTATAGGCAGGTTTTACTTCTGAAATAAGGAACAATTAAATAAAGAATAATTGTACAGCTAGTATTCCTCACACAATTGATATATACATGCATAAATATTTTTTTCTAAAGGTCCTTATGGACAGAATGGCAAATTTTACATGTATTCTATCAACTGCACGAAAGTGCAGCTAAGTTAAGACTCTTCTGTTCACAAAGTGGTCCTACAATGTCATTACCTTGGCCACAGGTAGAGCTTCCTCACAAAAAGGTTCCTCATCACTCTTTCCACATGACAAAAACCAGTGTCAAAAGCCACAGCGTTGTCTGTGAAAGCTTTGATGAAGCCACGCTTGTTTTTCTGGCGGAAGAGACGCAGGATGAAGGCTTCTTGGCAGGACTCGATGATCCTGTGTGCTCTGTACACCAGGATGCCTGTTGGGGGTTGTACTAGTCAGGTTTTCTAGAGGACAGGACTCCTAAGATGAATCTCCATGTAAAGAAAGGGGTTTGCTAGAGTGCAATAGTAACCCTAAGGAAGACGGGGGCTGTGGTACACACAGGGGATCCCTACGCTCACTCTGGCTCTGTCCCTTTTTTGGAACACCTGCTTGAAAACTGGCAGGCCCTGCTCTAGGCTGGGTGCAGATGTAAATCCTTGTTCTTTTGTGGAACTTGAAATAATGCGAGTAAAATATTTAATTTTACAAGTGCTAACAAGAAAATAAACCAGAGGGTGGTGTCCTAGTTAGGGTTACTATTGCTGTGATGAAACACAATGACCAAAAGTAAGCCCACATCACTGTTCATCATTGAAGGAAGCAGGATAGGAACTCACACAGGGCAGGATCCTGGAGGCAGGAGCTGATGCAGAGGCCATGGAGGGGTGTAGCTCACTGCCTTGTTCTTCCTAGGTTGCTCAGCCTTTTATAGAACCCAGAACTACCAGCTCAGGGGTTGCATCACCCAGAATGGACACCACCCACAGTCCTCCTCCATGGATCACTAAGAAAATTCCTACAGGCTTGTCTACAGCCTGATCTTACCGAGGCATTTTCTCAATTGAGGCTCTCTCCTCTCCAATGACCCTAGCTTGTATCAAGTGGACATAAAATGAGCCAGCACAGATGGTGATCTGTATTTTAGCTTTAGTGATGAGTGTGCAAATGGAAAGTGAAGGTGAGGGAGTAAGTCTCCTGTGCCATTTGGACCATGAGTGTCTGGACCACAAAGGGGCCAGGCCGAGCAAAAGATAAAGAGCAGAGGTCTTAAATGGTGCACAGTGTGGACAGATGGACTACATAAAACAGCTCAACTTTACAAGTCTGGGCAGCATCTGCATCCCATTAGATAAAGTCAGCATTGAGGATGCAGTCAATAAAGAGGTAAATTACACTATTTGAAACAAAAGCCTTTAACGAGCAAACTTAATAAACATTTTGTTTTGTTTGCAGAGGCAGGCACTTGATATTTAACTTAACTTGGCCATAATTAAACTTATGATCCTCTTGCCTCAGCCTTCTGAGTATTGGGATTACAGGCATGTGCCACCATGCCTGGCAATACATGACTTTTGTTATCTGTTTGGTACGATGCCCCTGAATCTTAAAAACAAGAATGAGGGATAAAGAGATGGCTTGGTGTATAAAGCATTTGCTGTGTGCCTCTAGAACCCACATAACAGCTAGGCAGGTGTGGGGCCACCTGTACCCAGCAAGCACCAAGGAGGAAGAGGCATGGAATCCCCTGAGCAAGTTGCTAGCTGAATTAGCAAGGATTGGCAAGCTCCAGCTTTAGCAAGTGACACTGTCTCAATAGAGAGAGAGCGAGAGGAAGACATCTGATGTCTGGTGTACATGCAAACACGTGCACATACGTGCATACCTACACACATCTGAGAACACACACATACATGCACACAAAAATAAATGTTTCTTAATTTTACATATAAGATACTAAAACAGGAGACCTTTAATGCACTACCATTCTTATTACATTTATTTCTTTAGTGTATGTGTGTATGTGTGCATGGCATGGCATGGCATAGGTGGAGGTTAGAGGACAGCTTCAAGGATTGGTTCTCTCCTTCTACCATATGGATTCTGGTGATGGAACTCAGGTCAGGTCAGGCTTGGAGGCAAAGTGCCTTTACCCACTGAGCCATCATGCTGGTCCTGTTGGTACCATTTTGATAATGTGTGTTTAGTGACAAATTAAGAGAAGCAGGAGATCTAACAGAGGACAGGCGTCAATTTTTGGGTCAAACTCACCATTCTATGATGATTTAGTCTTTTAGACCTAAATCAGCTGATACACATCAATATATACAAGTACACACATGCACTTGTTTTTGGACCCGCTCTCTTCACACACTGGATCCTAAAATGATACAGTGATCCATGTGCCCTTCTTGTCATTCAATAACTCACTACACATTTTATTACTTTATTTTGAAATTCTGGACTAAGTTGGCTAAAACGTACTCTCCCTAATTAACAAACAAGTATGTGAAAATTCATTTACAAATTTGTGAATGAAGACTTTCCAATTATACTGGTGCACGAGGCGTACTCACTCACTGCTCAGAAAATATTCCAAACCTAGCAGGTAGTTTTCCCATGGATCCCACAGGCCACAGTGGTTAGCCTGTGTTGAAGCATTATTATACAGGGGGCTAGGAAGTAGCCCCAGAGCATTTGATGCATGAGAACGGGGACCTGAATTCAACTCCTCAGCACCCACATAAAAAGCCGGCCTGGCCACCCTGTGCATACTGGTAGCTCCAGAACTGTAGGAGACAGAGACAGGAGGATCACTGGGGCTTGCTGGCTGCCAATCTGCCTCCAAGTTCAGTGAGTGACCCTGTCCCAAGGATATAAGGTACAGAGTGATAGAGTAGGATGCTCAATATCCTCCTCTGGCCTATGTAAGTGAGCAGATGCAGAACCACACACACATGCATAAGCATACCACACACAATTGAAATAGAACATAAAATTGAAAACAATAAAACGGAATTTTCAAACTATAGGTGAGCCTTAGTGTCCCAAGAGGTTGTCATTATTTTGGAATCCAAAAGAAAGGGGAAAGCTAACCCTAACTGCAGGCACAGGCACAGGCTTTGCAAATGGGATTCAAGTAAGCTTTAGGAGACTGGGTTATCCTGGGCCATCTGATATTATGACTTGGACATGAAATGTTCCCAGATGTTCATTGTGCATCAAGGTTTGCTCCTGTGGTCGTGCTCAGGGGGCTATATGTGTGTGTTTTCATTTCATATAGGGATTATTTTAAGATTAAAAGGGGGAGGGGGCAGCCTGAAGGTTGACAGGGGCCTACTATGTGCTTCCTGATGAGTGAAGCCCCTTGGTGTCCTTGCAAACCTGCATCATCAGTATAGAGGGTGTGTGGAGGGGGCTTCAGAGCTACAGGAGGCTCTCATGAGACAGGATAGCATGGACCAGAATGGACTTGACTTTGGCAGTTTCAGTCAAGAACCCACCTGTAGGCTAAGCTGGGAGAAGATGTTGATTCAGACTGTGCAGGCCTAGTCAGGGTGACTGATGGTACAAGACTGACATCTAGTGGTAGTTTCTAGACAATGTTTTCATGTTAGCAACTTAAAATCCAAGTTTACACAACATAAAGCAGTAAGATTTGGATGAACGGTTATCTCCAGCTACAAAAGAGCAACTATTGGTACAATTTATTAGGGTTTTCTGTGTACAAGCATCACAGCAATGCTATCATCCTAAAAGGCATCAATATCCATATGTACGTACGTATGCATGTTCTCTCTCTCTCTCTCTCTCTCTCTCTCTATAGTTAAGTGTGTGTGTGTGTGTGTGTGTGTGTGTGTGTGTGTGTGTATGTATGGGCATCTTGCCTGCTTATATGTCTGTGTACCATATGCATTCAGTGTACTTGGAGATCAGAAGAGGGCATCAGATTCCCTGGAACTAGAGTAATAGATGTGTTTGCTGGGAATTGAACCTAGATCCTCTGCAAGAGCAGCCTGTGCTCTTAACCACTGAGCATCTCTCCAGCTCTGGAGGCACTATTTTCTTGATTTAAGAAATGAAAAAACAGATGAGAGCTGGATATCAACAACGTCAGAAACAACAGAAAGCTTACAAATTCTTGGAAACTGAAAAACTCTCTGCTCAATCAAAAATGGGTCAAGATAGAAATAAATCAAAGACTTTCTAGAATTTAATGAAAATGAATACACAAGATACCCAAAACTTATGGGACACAATGTAAGCAGGGCTAAGAGGAAAGTTCATAGCACTAAGTGCCTACACCAATAAATAAATAAGGAGAAATCTCAGACTAGCAACTTATCAGCTCTAGAAGACAAAGAAGTAAGCACAAGAGAAATAGACAGCAAGAAATTATCAAATTGAGGGTTGAAATCAATAAAATAGAAACAAAGAAAACAATACAAAGAATCAATGAAACAAAGAGGTGGTTCTTTGAGAAAAATCCACAAAATAGATAAATCCTTATCCAAACTAACCAAAAGGCAGAGAGAGAGAATATCCAAATCAACAAAATCAGAAAGGAAAGGGGGGACATAACAACAGACTCCAAAGACATTCAGAGAATCATCAGGTCATACTTGAAAAACCTGTACTCCACAAAATTGGAAAATTTAAAAGAAGTGGATAATTTTCTCCATAGGTACCACTTAACCAAAATTAAATCAAGATCAGATGAACATTTTGAATAGACTGATAACCCCTAAGGAAATAGAAGCAGTCATTAACAGTCTCCCAACCAAAAAAAAAAAAAAAAATGCCCAGGGCTAGATGGTCTTAACTCAGAATTCTACCAGACTTTCAAAGAAAAGCTAATAACAATACTCCTCAAATTATTCCACAAGATAAAAACAGAAGGAACATTATCAAATTCTTTCTATGACGCACAGTTGCCCTGATAAACCACACAAAGACTCAACAAAGAAAGAGAACTACAGACCAATTTCACTCATGAATATTGATGCAAAAATATTCAATAAAATACTGGCAAACTGAATCTAGGAACACATCAAAAAGATCATCCACCATCACCAAGTAGACTTCATCCCAGAGATTTAGGGACAGTTCAACACACAAAAATCTGTCAATATAATCCACCATATTAAACAAAGAAAAAAACCACACGGTCATCTCCTTAGATGCTGAAAAAGTCTTTGACCAAATCCAACACCCCTTCATGATAAAAGTCTTAGAGAGATAAGGGATACAAGGGACATATCTAAACATAATAAAGGCAGTATACAACAAGCTGATTGCCAACATTAAACTAAATGGAGAGAGACTCAAAACAATTCTGTTAAAATCAGGAACAAAGTGAGGCTGTCCACTCTCTCCTTATCTATTCAATATATCACTTGAAGTTCTAGCTAGAGCAGTAAGACAACTAAAGGAAATCAAGGGGACACAAATAGGAAAGAAAGAAGTCAAGGTATCTTTATTTGTAGATGATATGATAGTATATATAAGTGACCCCAAAAAACTCTACTTGGGAACTCCAACAGCCGAAAAACACCTTTAATCAAGTGGGTGGATACAAGATTACCAAAACAGAACAAACCAAACCAAACAAACAAACAAAAGAACAGTGGCCCTCCTATATACAAATGATAAAGAGGCTGAAAAAGAAATCAGGGAATCCTGGGTGGAGGAGAAATGGCCCCCCTCCCACCCATCAACACCTAAGGCATGTGAGAGAGCTGCCCCTGACCACCAGCTGCAACATCAGGGACAGCAGGCTCTGTACCTTACCTGGGCAGCACAATAGAGCCAACCCATTGACAAGAGGTGTGGGTGAGCACTATGCATGCAAGGCAACAACAGTCAGCAAGTGTGTGTTAGCCACCTGAACTGGCTCTTCAGCCCAAGATGAAGAAGTGCTTCCTGGTGCAAAGTTTAGCTTACAGGTGAGTTGGACATAAACAGGCAAGTGCAATGTAGTGTTTCAGGTGCTCTGGGTAGAGAGGCATAGGGCAGTTTAATGACAGGGTGGTAGAGCTCTTATATTAGCTTCAAGGAAAGCAGCAGTTTCTGAAGGGACAAATGACAACGAAATCCATTGTTTCTATAATGCTCCTAGCTAAAATGATCTCCCACCCTTCTCCTCAAAAATATAAACAATTTAGTTTAAATCATGGGGAAAGGAAGGACAGCAAATTCATTTAGAGATCTATGAAGAGTACTGATAAACACATCAAGTCTGGCTGTACTCAAAAGGCAAATTCCTGTTAATATTAGTGAAAGCAAGACTCAGAAGGGGCCACATCTTACACAAAGTCACACATTGCATAATGATGCTTCAGTTGGCAATGGACCTAAAGGTTAGAACAGAGCTGGAGAGTACGCACGTTCCAGTAGATTCAACTCATGACTCTTTATGGGTTTGTATGCTGATACAAAGACTGGCTGGAGAGGGCTCAGTGGTTAAGACCAGTTACTCTTTCAGAGGACTCAGGTTGGATTCCCAGAACCCATAAGGTGGCTCACAACCATCTGTAACTCAAGTTCCAGGAATCTAATGATCTCTTCAGACCTCTGCAGGTACCAGACATGCATGTGGTACGTATACATATATATATATATATATATATATATATATATATGTATATATATTTGTAAAACAAATACACCACTGTGCCACTAGTCACATAAGCACACAACATGTGCAATTATGTGCAGTATACATAATACTCAGTAATACAGCAAAGGACTGCCAGGTTAATTTACTATACTGTGCTTTTCTTCCTTATTTTGGAGGCACCCTTCTAGCTATAAAAACAAATTAACCATAAAACAGTGTGCTGTGTTAATGGTGGCAGCATCAGGCCCAAACAGCTCATGTTTACTATGTCTCTTAGTTGCATCAAGAGATCAACATCTAATTGAGTTATAAGATCCAGGATGTTTTTTTTGTTTGTTTGTTTGTTTGTTTGTTTTTTTTGTGTGTGGGTGGTTTTCAAGACAGGGTTTCTCTGTGTAGCTTTGGAGCCTATCCTGGCACTCACCCTATAGACCAGTATGGCCAAGACATCACAGATATCCACCTGCCTCTGCCTCCCAAGTGCTGGGATTAAAGGTGTGTGCCATCAACGCCTGGGCCAGTTTTTTTTTTTTTAATTTATTTTCACTTTAAAAATCATGTACATATCTCTGTGTATATATGGTTGGAGAGAGGGGTGTTTGTGCATGTTGAGTGCTGTGCTCTCAGAGGGCCAAAGAGGGTATCAGATCCCATGGAGCTGGAGTTATGGATCAGTTGTGAGCCACCATGTAGGTGTTTGCCTTCTGCAAGAGCAGTGTGCAACCTTAACCTCTGACCCACCTCTCTTGCCCATCCATGTATGTTCTTGTATGTAAGCTCTAAGGTTGTCACACAATAGCTAAACCATACAGCCTGAGAACTGGTGACCATTGAGTGATACTTCCCCATGTCATAAATATTTATGGAACATCTATGATGTGTCAGATATTATGCCAACAGGTTAACTACAATGCTGAATAATAAGAACCAGTTTAGCAGTTAGCAGAGGAGACAGACACAAATAAAAATGCTCACATTGTAGATAAGGAAGATTTCAAATTCTTACCGGTTATTAAATCTGAAGGTATTCTATCAGTCAAGAAATCAACCACAAGTATTCTACTTGTTGCGAATATAATACCACCTTGTGTATACACTTCATAGCGACTGTTACTTGTGATTTCATTTGTCACACGTCGGGGGAGGTGTTCAACTCCTTCTATCTTCAACTGATTGATAAAATATTCCTAAATCAGATTAAATTCATTAGTAAGCTGTTTATAATACGAGCAGAGTACTATTAAAATAGGATGCAGGGATTGAAAATGACGTCTCCGTTCTCAGATTTGTGACTATCACAACAAATATGCAAACTAAGTTATTCCGGGTTACTTTAAGGTTTTTGTTTGGTTGTGCTTTGGAGTTTACACTAAGAAATAATTGTGTTTCAGTCATTTGCCCCCAAACAGAACCTTTTAAAATCCCGGGTTAAAAGTTCTCTACTACCTAGAAATTACTTCCCACCAAAGCCAGGCTTCCAGCCAACATTATCTGTAATAAGGGATTCCCCTCTTCAGACAATGCTTTAGACTGTTAGCGCTATATTAGTTACAACAGTATTGATGCATACTTGAGAGACTTCTGAATGTTCATAGTTTCGATGGCTGACAGCCTCTCCATTCAATGTCACTGTCCTGGGCATCTTAAAGTCCCATGCCAGGCACTGGAGATACCCAGAGGAGTCCAAAAGAGCCTCTTCTCAGCTGACACTTTCTTCCTGGCCCATCACTGTCCTTTTAGGGGCGCCACTCAGCTGCCCCCAGAAACACCCATAATACTTAACTTTCAGGCTCACATATTATCCTTATAGCTTTACTCTGTATTATTCTGACAGCTTCCCTACTTTTCAGTGCAAACCAATCCACTCTCCTACCCTAATGTGTATCCTAGTCGCTTCTCCTTTTCACTGTCAGAGAGTGTATGGGAGCCATATTCTTAGTGTCCTCAAGCTGTGGGCCCTGTGTCTCTCCCAAAGAGCTCTACTCAATGCCCTCTCTGTTAAGCGTGGAAGCTAAGACTTCCAGGGGACGCGTTCCCTCCTTCGCAGGGCCCTCCCGCAGTGTTAGAGCCCTTGATCTCTTTCAAGGACCCTTACTCAATGCCCTCCTAAGTCGTGACAGCCACTTGGACGTCCCAGGGGTTCCCTTCCCTCCTTCACAGTGTCCTAGGATTGTATAGGTGCCCCGAATCTCCCTCAGGGATCTCAATTCATTCCTTTTCCTGTCTCGTTTGAGACCTGCGCTGGCTCGGTGCCCCTGCGACAGCACAGCTTCGCATTCCCGCCGCGCCGCTTTCGGCTTGGATGTCCCCACGCCCTCGGGTCCACCCATCTCGCAGTCGCACCTCCTCAGCCGGCTGCGTGTTGAGCACCAGCACCAGGCAGGCCGGGTGGCAGTGCAGCCGCAGGAAATGGTAGAGGAGCCTG